TTTGGGCGATGGGGCTTGTAGTCCTAAAAAAAATACCTCCTCCAATTCTGGTTTAACCAAGGATGGAAGAACTGGGTTGAGAGAAGTTGCAGTTCTTTGGAGCCTCTCTGACCGGGAGCAGTCTATCTCAAGACTCATAACAGGTGGAGAGAAGAATATGGGAAAACTCTGGTCTTCCCATATGGCATGACACTGGATGCAACCTTTGATAAGATCCTCGTTGGGATGGGCTTCTGGGCTAGCGGAGAAGGAATATTTTAAGCCAGGACCCAGTTCAGTATGTTTATTTTTCACCACAGATGGCGATTTTCAAGGATATGTACAGTAGGACCTCCTTATCCACAGGACTGGTATTCGCTGATTCACTTATCCACTTATCCACATTCTGAAAATATTAAAAGTGAATTCCTAGAAATACATATTTCTAATGATGAAGTTACCAGAACTGGCCACTAGAGAGAGGGAGAGACTATGCTACAAATGGCATTTGCTATTAAAATAGCGTTTGCTCTAATACGCATTTTTCAGCATCCATGGGGGAGCTGGGGGCAGATCAGTCACGGACACAGAGGTCCTACTGTATTGGGATGCCTTGTGAATACAAATCTCCTGGCTTAACATAGTGAGGGTCCCTAGAGGACAAGAAACTTGAGTTTCTGGAAGCTAAAAAATTGGAGAGTAGCAATCTGAATCCCCCCCTCCTGATTTGCAAAGTCCCTGCCGTCATGCATTGTTTATCCCCTCCCTCCTCCTCATGCTGGGCGACCCTGGAAGACAAGATAGTTAATTCTGATAGATGTGAGATGTTACTAACATGCACGCCTGCTTCTAAGACTTTAACCCAGGGCTTGTTCCTTTAAAAAAAATAAAAATAAAGGAAGAGGAATAAAGCCATCATGTTGCCCCCAAATTATGGCGACCCTATGAATGAGCGATCTTCCAAACATCCCTTGCTTTTGACTGCCCTGGGAGTCTACTCTTCCGGCACTATCTCTTGTTTCCTTTTTGCCCTGTCCCCCGCCATTTAGTCGCCTCCGACGGATGGCCACCCTATGAATGAGTGCTCTCCAAAAGGCCCTCCATCTCCCGGCTCAGCCCTTCCCAAATCAGGCCTGTGGCTTCCTTGAGGGAGCCCGTCCATCTCGTATTTTGGGCTTCCTCTTTCACCGCTGCCTTGCCGAGAGCTCTCATTTGGTCAGCTCAGCTAGGACCTGCCGAACTGTTGGCTGGGTCATGCTTGGTCTTTCCCTCCCCCCTTCGTGACCGCCCTGTGCTTTTCCCTCCTGCGCAGATGCTGGCCACGCTCCTCATCACTCGCCAGTTTCTGCAGAACATCAAGGAGGTCTCCCAGCCTCATCTTTACAGCAAATTCAAGCGGGGGGACCTTAGTGCCCAAAATCTCCGGGAGGTAGCCCATACCCTCTTCCGGCTGCTGACCCAGAGGTAT